GTGAGAGAGAGAGCAGGGAAAGGAAATGCAGCTGAACGAACACGCTGCGTTTTTAAAAAATGAATAACGAAATGCAATTTTGTGGCGGCCGGTGCGGCGGCCAAGGGGGTAATCCCATCGACCGGAAGTTGAAGCCGGCCGGCTTACTTACTCCTGCTCACTCACGCCAAAGAACTCTTTGCTCAAGTTCCCCGTCTCTGCAAGATTAACGTTGGCAGTTTTCACGCACAGCTACTAGAAGATTAACGTCTGTCAGACAGGTTGCTCACGTCATCAAGCTTAGTTTGAGTCGGTCTGAGTCTGCGCGTCAGGAACGGAAGTTCTCAAAAATCGCTAAAAGTGGGCTTCAACTGTCTCAACTGAGTTCCAATGAGATCGCTCTGTCCATTTCTTTTACTGTCTATGGCGGCGGCCCAAGACATTGACAAAGACGAAAACTAAGGACATTTACTCTATAATTTTATTTTATTTTAGTTAGTTTTGCCAAACACACATTACAGTTTTAGTTAGTTATCGTTTTTTTGTAATGCCTCGTTTTTATTTTTATTTCAGTTAACGACAATGTTTTTTCCCACCTAGTTTTCGTTTTTTCGTTCGTTTTCGTTAACGATTATAACCTTGATCACAAAAGACTGGATCATCTGACCAATCAGAGCAGAGTAGACCAATCACAACAGACTGGATCATCTGACCAATCAGAGCAGAGTAGACCAATCACAACAGACTGGATCATCTGACCAATCAGAGCAGAGTAGACCAATCAAAACAGACTGGATCATCTGACCAATCAGAGCAGAGTAGACCAATCACCACAGACTAGGGCATGTGACCAATCAGAGCAGAGTAGACCAATCACAACAGACTGGATCATCTGACCAATCAGAGCAGAGTAGACCAATCACAACAGACTGGATCATCTGACCAATCAGAGCAGAGTAGACCAATCACCACAGACTAGGGCATGTGACCAATCAGAGCAGAGTAGACCAATCACAACAGACTGGATAATCTGACGAATCAGAGCAGAGAAGACCAATCACAACAGACTAGGGCATGTGACCAATCAGAGCAGAGTAGACCAATCAGAACAGACTGGAAAATCTGACCAATCAGAGCAGAGTAGACCAATCACAACAGACTAGGGCATGTGACCAATCAGAGCAGAGTAGACCAATCACAACAGACTGGATCATCTGACAAATCACAACAGACTGGATCATCTGACCAATCACAACAGACTAGATCATCTGACCAATCAGAGCAGAGTAGACCAATCACAACAGACTGGATCATCTGACCAATCACAACAGACTGGATCATCTGACCAATCAGAGCAGAGTAGACCAATCACAACAGACTGGATCATCTGACTAATCAGAGCAGAGTAGACCAATCACAACAGACTAGGGCATGTGACCAATCAGAGCAGAGTAGACCAATCAGAACAGACTGGATCATCTGACCAATCAGAGCAGAGTAGACCAATCACAACAGACTAGGGCATGTGACCAATCAGAGCAGAGTAGACCAATCAGAACAGACTGGACCATCTGACCAATCAGAACAGACTGGACCATCTGACCAATCAGAGCAGAGTAGACCAATCACAACAGACTGGATCATCTGACCAATCAGAGCAGAGTAGAGCAATCACAACAGACTGGATCATCGGACCAATCAGAGCAGAGTAGACCAATCACAACAGACTGGATCATCTGACCAATCACAACAGACTGGATCATCTGACCAATCAGAGCAGAGTAGACCAATCACAACAGACTGGATCATCTGACCAATCAGAGCAGAGTAGACCAATCACCAGAGACTAGGGCATGTGACCAATCAGGGCAGAGTAGACCAATCACAACAGACTGGATCATCTGACCAATCAGAGCAGAGTAGACCAATCACCACAGACTAGGGCATGTGACCAATCAGAGCAGAGTAGACCAATCACAACAGACTGGATCATCTGACCAATCAGAGCAGAGTAGACCAATCACAACAGACTGGATCATCTGACCAATCAGAGCAGAGTAGACCAATCACCACAGACTAGGGCATGTGACTAATCAGAGCAGAGTAGACCAATCAGAACAGACTGGATAATCTGACCAATCAGAGCAGAGTAGACCATTCACAACAGACTGGATCATCTGACAAATCACAACAGACTGGATCATCTGACCAATCACAACAGACTAGATCATCTGACCAATCAGAGCAGAGTAGACCAATCACAACAGACTAGGGCATGTGACAAAAATCAGAGCAGAGTAGACCAATCAGAACAGACTGGATAATCTGACCAATCAGAGCAGAGTAGACCAATCACAACAGACTAGGGCATGTGACCAATCAGAGCAGAGTAGACCAATCACAACAGACTGGATCATCTGACCAATCAGAGCAGAGTAGACCAATCACAACAGACTAGGGCATGTGACCAATCAGAGCAGAGTAGACCAATCAGAACAGACTAGGGCATATGACCAATCAGAGCAGAGTAGACCAATCACAACAGACTGGATCATCTGACCAATCAGAGCAGAGTAGACCAATCAGAACAGACTGAATCATCTGACCAATCAGAGCAGAGTAGACTAATCACAACAGACTAGGGCATGTGACCAATCAGAGCAGAGTAGACCAATCAGGACAGACTGGACCATCTGACCAATCAGAGCAGAGTAGACCAATCAGAACAGACTGGACCATCTGACCAATCAGAGTAGAGTAGACAAATCAGAACAGACTGGATCATCTGACCAATCAGAGCAGAGTAGACCAATCACAACAGACTAGGGCATGTGACCAATCAGAGCAGACTAGACCAATCACAACAGACTGGATCATCTGACCAATCAGAGCAGAGTAGACCAATCAGAACAGACTGGATCATCTGACCAATCAGAACAGACTGGACCATCTGACCAATCCGAGCAGAGTAGACCAATCACAACAGACTAGGGCATGTGACCAATCAGAGCAGAGTAGACCAATCACAACAGACTGGATCATCTGACCAATCAGAGAAGAGTAGACCAATCAGAACAGACTGGACCATCTGACCAATCAGAGCAGAGTAGACCAATAACAACAGACTAGGCCATGTGACCAATTATAACACTGTAAATCAATCACTGGGGCCGACTGTTCAATCAGAGTAGAGAGACTTTAGAGACAGAATTTTCTAGTTTACCGTTTTCCGACTCTTTGAGAAATTAGGTGATGCTACAATGTATATTATGAGAAAATTAAATTTTATTTTATTTTGTTTACCTTTGATGCATGTAAACCTGTTCAAAACAAAATCTTTAAAATAGCATAAAAGGGGCACTTTAACTTAAACACAAACACACACACACACACACACACACACACACACACACACACACAGAGAGAGAGGGAGACTGTCATTGCAAGTCTAAACTACATCATAATGAAACACAAAGAAGTCCATCAACAGAGGTGAAGGGAAAGTAAAACAGAAATCTCCGCCTCGTGTGTTTGTGAATCACAGTGAGGCGTATCCAGACCCTGACGCCGTTCCATGGATTATTGATTTTTTTCTTCCATTTCTGCCCAGAGGAGACTGCACTTGAAGAGCACCATTAGCCCCATAACGATTAGAGAGCAAAAGTTAATTATGTAATTATGAAGGCAATAAGAAGTGCTTGACTGTGCCTGTGAAGGCTTTAAACATTATCTTCAATGAGACGGAGGGAGGGGAGATTAAAGTAGAAAAAGAAATGAGAGAAAACATTAAGTAAACTCTTTCACTCCTCTGATTTTACAACTAGATTTTTTTTTTTTTTTCAATATTTCCATATATGGCTTTTTTCAAACATCTACTATAATGAACATGTTTTCGATTTCTGAATTGATATTTTGAATACAAATATCTATCTAGTTGCTGTAATGGCAACAATGAGAAATTGTTATTAAAAAGCGTATAGAGGGAAAAAAAAGTTATAAAACCTTTATAAGATTTTAAAAAATATATACATTTATTTGAAATATTTACAAATAAATATTAAATTAAACATTTTAACCTTAAAATAATAATAATTCATATTAATAATTAGGATGTGTACATTCACGTGTAATTAAAGTTTTTTTTGTTTTGTTTTTATTGGTTACACGACTTTCAGTTTTATAGTTATTGTTAAAAAGGGTATAAATATCTTCTTTTTTTTATGTGTAAAAACCAACATGAATAAAAAGATCATATTCATGTGATTTTAAGAACTTAAAAGCTTTTTCTTTGATCTTTTTTGTCATTGACCATAAACACATTCTTGGATTTCCACACTTACATAAACGGCCAATTTGCAAAGGGTTGAATTGGACTCTCTAAACCGTAGCAGGATCTGGACTGAAATAACCTCCTCAGAGGGACCGTGATGCGGCGGGTGATAAAAATAGAGCTCCAAATAAAGGTTGGGGGTCGGGACGGGGGGCTGCCAGAGGCACAAAGATCCTGTCAGTATTGCACTTCTCCAACCCACAATGTGACGAGATAAGATACAGTGAATTATAATATGCATGAGCTGGGGGTGAGGCCAGAGCTTTCACTGCTGGACTGTTGGTATATCCAGAATAAATAAACATGAGGTCATGTTTATGCAAAGAGAGAGGGAGGTTATACATTCAACTTCAATTCTGAGCTAAACAAACATCCTCTTAACCTTGTGTTTGATTAACAGAAGAAGCAGCAAACAGCCGATTATCCACATCGAGCTAAAGCAGGAATACATGTGTGGGGAAGTCTGTGACCTAAGGGCTCGTATTAAAGAGAACTATGGTTTAATTATACACAAACACACACATTATATTATCCAACCTGAGCGGCTCATGAGAGCACAGAGCGCTGGCGTGAGAAGGTGTTCATTTGTCCGTGAGAGCGGTGTGTGTTGTGGTGTGTGTTGTGTGTGGGCCCCTGCAGAGGTGTAAATGCGAGTGTGTCAGTTGGGACACCGGCTCCTGTCAGCTCTCACCGCTCTCTGGTTGACGTCCGCTCCGGAGCGCACCATCATGTCCACCGTCTCCACACAGCCCTGCTTGACCGCCCAGTGGAGCGCCGTCTGCAACACACGCAGGCAAACACACCAGCTGTCAATCACCACGCTGCTGTCAATCACACACGTGATGTGTTCAGGCTGCACGTCCCACCTGGGCTTAATGAGACTCCTGCGCTACCGTAAGCTCTGAACTCACGTGAGACGCCCTCTTGCATTTTTGTAAGAAAAATAGGGACTTCTGACCCGACGCATGACGAATGACCCCTGACCCGACGCATGACGAATGACCCCTGACCCGACGCATGACGTAGGATGTAGGAGTAGCGTAAGCTTAGGTGAGAGTCGACTCTCACTGTTCAAACTCAAGCTCCTCCCACTAATTTCTCTTTAAAGTCCCCATGAATTCAAAATTGACCATACTTACTTTGTTTGCCTAAATTGATCATTTTGTGGTGAACAATTCATCCATGCAAGTCAATCCACACAAACAAATTTTTTGGCTTCGTAATCTTTAATCATAATCTGAAATTTCCCCTCCCCTCTGCATTGGAGGACCTTCCCTGATGACGTAGGTTTCACGGTTTGGGCGTCTTCTTAACATCCGTAACCACGCCCCTCCAACTGACAGTAGACAGGCTGAATGAAAACACCTACTTTTCTAGATCCAATCGGGTGCTAGTTGGGAAAAAAGCCACGCCCACTATTTTGCCTAATTTAGTATTCAGTTTCTCTCGGAAATACGTCACAACACTGGAGAAAAGTCGTTTGCAACTTCCGGTTCACGGGGACTTTAAATAATTGTACCCAGTGTTTTGCTCTTTCCTCTAATGGCGCTTTTCCACTGCTGGTACGGCTCAGTACGGTTCGGCTCGGCCCGGCACAGTTCGGCTCGCTTCACTTTTCCACTGCTGGTACGACTCAGTACGGTTCGGCTCGGCACGGCACAGTTCGGCTCGCTTCACTTTTCCACTGCTGGTACGGCTCAGTACGGTTCGGCTCGGCCCGGCACAGTTCGGCTCGCTTCACTTTTCCACTGCTGGTACGACTCAGTACGGTTCGGCTCGGCCCGGCACAGTTCGGCTCGCTTCGCACGGCTCGGTTCGCACTAGCTCGGTTTGCTTTTCCATTGCAGTTAGTACCGCTTCAAAGTGGGTGGGATTATAGTCGGACCGTTATAGTTTATCCGCTCCTGGGCAACCAACGAGAGGAACGTCTGCACTTCGTCCACTGACCACGATTCAGCCATTTCTTTTTTGGAAGTTTTCTTTTTTCTTCAAGCAAGTAGTTTTAAAACAGGTGCTACAGCGGTGGCTGTTACTGGCTATTTAAATCTAGCGGGTTTGATGTCTCGCAAATACAATGACGCTGGTAGTGACGATTCTGTCTGACCAATCAGTGATCTGCAGTGTGTTCACGTCACATTTTAGTATCGGTACAGTACGCTTGGAACCTCAACAGAGGTGGTACCATTTAAAGCGAGCCGTACCGTTCCGTACCATGCAGTGGAAAAGCGCCATAAGCTTCTGTGTTCGTCATTATGTCATTGGGTTGGGTCAGGGGTCACTCTTCCACCGGAACTAGACTCGCATACGGCCGTAATTGATCGATGTGATTGATTGTAACGTGTCCCGTTTATGGTTTGTTTACATGTCTTTGGTCTGTGTTGCATTCATATTTAATTTCTTAATTTAATTTCTTTAATTCACATTTCTGAGAACTCATGAAGAGCTTATCTGTGTAAAAACTGCGGCAGGAATCCCTACATCACACACACACACACACACACACACGCTGCGAGGAGACGCGGTTCTGATGCCTGTACTGAACTGTGATGGGCAACATCAAGACTATAATGAGAAAAAACAGGTTTCCTTGATCATTCTGTCCTTTTTAGGATCACATCTTGTGACATCATGTCCTGTTTTTGGTTTGTTTACATGTCTTTGGTTTGTGTTGCGTTCATATTTCAGTCGCACCGCACCAGAGTTCGTTTGGAAGCGGACTGAGACTCATCTTTTCAGGATGGCAGCGTTCACACTTCGGCTGTGTTCACACTTGGCATGTTTGGTTTGATTAAAACGAACTCTGCTGCGATTGCTCTGTTAAAAATGCCATTCTGAACGCTAAGCAGACCAGGACTAAATGTTTTTGTGAAACAAACTACAAGTGTGAACACAACCTTACACGATTTGGAAAATAGATTCATGATGTATTGCTTGTTATATACATTTTGTAAATTTCGAATGAAATTAAAATAACGGACTGCTACTTTAAGTGTGCCTTAAAACTCCAAAGTCCAAAACTGGTCACTGTATGTGAAGGCCATTTATGCCACATCTATCAAAGCTGTGTTTGGGATCATTTGCATAAGCAGATTTGGCTCCATATGAATGAATGAGAACAGTGCTGAGTCATTAGCATAGCAGCTAATTCAGCACAATGTTAGCTCACTGAGGCCAAACCCAAGGACGCCTGCCCTGCTGCTGTTCAACCCTGCGTCCCAGCTGACCGAAACATAATGGACCTCAACCCATAACACCATCTCACACGAAGAAAGGGACATTAGAGCTAACTTCATAATGCTGATGATCTGAAGTATTATTTTCTTGTATTTGTTTGTGATTATACAAATGATTTATACATTTTTTATTAATAATCATTGTTACTTTTTTTAATGTATTTTAATATAAAAGTATAATAATTTCATTTATTTATTTAGATAAAAACAGGGCTGCAGATTTAACCAAAATCATTGAGATACTGTTATGTGGCTAAAGGATGAACCCAATAGCAGACAGCAACTGATTCTCACAGGGTTTATTAATGGACAAAAACAGAAAACAAAAACCCACGATGGGGCAAAACAAGGCAGGACAAGACTAATACTCAGACAGTAAACTCACAGCTACAACAGGAACAGACACTTCTTGAAGACAGGACTCTCAACAGGTTACTCACAGCTTGATACACACAATGTCAAACAATGAACCGACACAGAACAGCAAACACAAGGGGTTTATATAGGGAACACTAATGACGAGGACAGGTGCAACCGACTAGACACTAATGACAAGACAAGGGTAACAAGGGGGCGGAGTTACATAACGAGACAACACAAGCACATGGCCCAAACAACAGACCAGCGCTTGTACACAAAACACGGGTCTGTCATGATCCAGCCTCAAGACTAGGGGAAATCAAGGACAAGAAGGCCGGATCATGACAGATACTGTATGTGACCCTGGACCACAAAACCAGTCACATGGGTCAATTATTTGAAATGGAGATTTATACATCACATGGAAGCTGAATGAATAAGCTTTCAATTGATGTATGGTTTGTTACGATAGGACAATATTTGGCCGAGATACAACTATTTGAAAGTCTGGAATCTGAGGGTGCAAAGAAATCAAAACATTGAGAAAATCTCCTTTAAAGTTGTGTATTATGTTCTCGATTGTGCTGCATTCACTCACAAAAATAAATGTTTTATATATTTACGGTAGGAAATTTACTAAATATCTTCATGGAACATGATCTATACTTAATATCCAAATGATTTTTGGCATAAAAGAAAAATAATTTTGACCCATACAATGTATTGTTGGCTATTGCCACAAATATACCGTACGACTCGTGACTGGTTTTGTGATCTAGGGTCACATATAGTTTTTATTTGTATATTTTCATTTGTCATTTAAATTTTTGTTAAAGTTAGTAATTTTGTTTGGTTTTTTTGTCATTCATATTAATTTGTTTTTGTATATGACAAATAGTTTTTTATAAATTTGTATTTCATATAGTTTTATTTTTGTACATCAAGTAGAGATGAAATGAGATGAGAAATGTAAAATAAGATGATTTCTCCCCTAGACTGCACAGAATGTTGAATAAAGCATGAGTACAGACACAGTTACAGGCTACTTACAAACTTCAGGTCCGAGTGAAGAGGTCCAAGTGTTATTTTTTTATTCATTGCGTGTGTCGGAGATTCCCGGAGCGGGACAGAGAAAGAAAGCAAGAAAACAACATCGGTAATAGGATAACACAGCTCTTTTGGGCCTTGTTGCTCTCCATAGTCGCCATTGTGTTCCTTCACATCGGCGTGTTTGGCCAAAAGCTCAGAGTGTTTCTCCAGTGCCCGTCCACATTCCCTCGCAGGGACACATCAAAGCCGGAGCAGCCATGCTTTTGTCAAACTCTCCTCCCCATTTTTCTGTCACCAAGTTTTATCTCTTCCAAATCGCCACCAGCCTTTAACCTATTCTGAGCCGATTAGCTGAATGCTTGATTTGAGCATTAGAGAAACTATAGCAACCTGTAATCTGCCAAAGAGCGAATCAAAAAGCCCTATGTATCTTGTCACGCAAGAGCTGGCAGCCCACCTTGACCCCATAAGCCGTCTCTTACAGAGCCTCGCTGGGCGGACAGGCCCCCGCTTTATTCACACACACACAATCCGTTGAGAAATGGTCTCCGGCCAATCTGTGCCCCGTCCTGAAGAGCAACAATCTGCCCAAGTCGAGGATCATTTAGTAAACAATATGCAATAAAACAATATCCACTGAACAGCCTACAGGAAATTAAAACCTAGTGTAGCTAACATGTTAGCATAACGTATTGAAGCATTAAAGGGGTCACATGATGCGGTTTCTTGTTTTCCTCTTTCTTTAGTGTGTTATGTAGCTGTTAGTGCAAGTATAAGATCTGCAGAGTTACAAAGCTCAAAGTGTCAAACCCAAAGAGATATTCTTTGTAAAAGTGAAGGCTTCCTAAAACGCTTCGTTTAAACACGCCTCCACAAATCTACGTCAGTGTGTGGGGCAGAGTTTCATAACACCGCACAAATGTATACGCGGGACTTTATTTACTCTCGCTGTATTATTGTTGGCGCCGCCGTGTCGTGGAGACGCTGTGAGAAATCTCGTTGAGAAATTAAACTACTTAGTTTGGCCTTCCAAATAGAGAACAGTGAGAACAGTACAACCGAAATATTTGACTGTGTGCAGCGCATGTTTCGGAGGATATAAAGACAGTATAAGTCATTATAATCAGTAATTATG